AAGCAAAAATAACCTTCAGTAAAGCACTAGATAAAAGCTAGATAAAAGCCTCTCAAGACAGCAACAAAACATATTTTCTCCCCACCTCTCCAAACCTTCTGCTCCTATCAAACTGAAAGATTCACTTTTAACGCTGACAGGCTGGACGCGCAGGAGAAATTCAGGAAACGTCTCCTCTAATCAGGAGACTGTCACTGACGTGACTTGCAGCTCTGTGCGGCCAAGCTCGCACTGCGTCTTTGGCACCGTGTCAGTTCATCAGCCCAAGGTCTCTATTTGCAAACTTCCAGTCCTAGGCAGTAAAAGTTCTGTTGCAGCTTGGGAACAGCACATTCTCTGACCTAGCTTTAGTCCATAAACTGTTTACTGCTTACTTTGTTTATCTGTATAGTCTAATGATGAGAACTGTGCAAAATAATTGCCTTAAACCTTGAGTCCACATGAAGCCTGTCTTCGAGCGTAGCCACTGGATAAATATTACAAAAAGTAGTGAAAGATTTTCTTTCAACTCTGCCTATGTCCAGTTTGCATATCTACAACTGATATTTCCTGGCAAGACATCAGGACAATTGTCAAGGAAAGATAATTTTGAAGCTTTAGTTATAAAATTGCCAGAAACCACATTTTAGATTTGCATGGGAATGTTTTGGGGTTTCACAGTCAGGGAAGTGAAACAATGCAATGAGGTCTCTGAATTACCTGGTCAAGTGAAACAAGGATTCATGGCTTGAGGAGCAAATACCAAGGCCGCTTGCTAAAATGAGACATTTTCAAAGAATTAATACATTCAGTGAAAACAATCCACTTATGCATGCAGAGCCACAAGGAGAAAGGAAGCTGAATTCATTACATGAGTTACTTGCTGCACAGTTTCCCATAGTCCTACTAAGGCAAGAGCTGGGTGACTTTGCAATACAATCCCAGTATCACTTCATGCTCACAAGGGTTCAGCAAACACGAGGCAAAGCTGTTGAGGAGGATGGAAATCTCACGTACTTCCTTCTTCACTGTCTCCCTCAGCACATATAGAGGAATAAGATTTCTAGGGGACTTCTCCCTAATGCAGAGGACTTTTGAAAGAAGGCCTGAGAACACTTCTGTGTGGATTATTCAGAACTTGTTGTGGGATTAATGCATAAGGGTTCACACACATTTGAGGGGTTCAAGTTTGCTGAGAGACTTTTCCCTGAAAAAAGTAAAAAAAAAAAAAAAAATCAATGCTGTCACACTTGAGCCTATTTCGAGGAACACCTACAGGTGCCCTCTCAGGTACTTCCTTGCAACACCTGCTTAGTGTCAACTGTGACAAATAACAAAACAAAACACAAAACCTACTAGGTGTTGAATCATAGTCCCAGGACAGCAGCTTCTAGAGACTTCACTAAGCTTCACAAAAGCAATTTGACTGCCCTGTAATAAGCACCTCTACTGCTTCACTCCTATGGTTTGAACAGGAAGTTAATTAATACAGCTTTAACTTTGCAAACTTGAGAAAGGCAATACAAAAGCAGGAAAAAGAACGCCAGTCATTCACAAGGAAGGGCAGGACAAGCCACAGCAGCAAACCTCCCGCTTGGCAGCCACCAAACGCAACGGATGAGGACACAGGTTGAAGTGTGCACACACCAGCCACTTCTTTGCATGTGGAAGGTGCAGAAGCAGCTGTAAGAGTGGACGGGCAGGCAGGTCCCGGGGCTCCCCAGCTGCTGAAGGTGACAGCGCTCACGGGTTCCCTGGGCGGCTCTCCGGACGGCGGCCTCAGGAGGCACCGCGCGGGCTGGCGACGCCAGCACAGCCCGCACAGCCCTGGGCAGGCTGGTAAGCAATAGAGCACCCAGGGAAACTGGAGCTCGCACCCTGGAAGCCGTGCGGGCGCTACCTCTCCTGTATTTATTTCCTTCCTTGTCTCCCCTTTCCCGAAGCAGCTTCTGTTCTTAATTTCTTTATAAGATAACAACTGCCCTCCCCAGAATAAAACAAAAAGCCTATATGAAACACCTGAAAATAAACAAAAATGTATTTTACACTGAGTGAATAAATATAGCTTCACTAGGCTAATCAGATCATTCCCAAACCCTTTTGCTGTAAAATTATAACTTGGATTAGACTTTTTAATAACATATGATCTTTGTGCAGTCTTAAGCGTTTGATGCAGAGAAATTTAAAAAATAACACAGGATTTTAGTTATATACGTACACTACTAGTTATTTATATTTGCTCTAGTCCATTTGTATGTGAGTAATGGAAGGTATGATAATTTATTTACTGGTTGACAGCTTGCACAGAACTTTATGACTTCGATAGCTAATCTCTGCAGGTAAAGATATTAACATTTGAAATGATACTAAGGGTAAAAACGTCTAATGGAATGAAAACTGCTCTACTGAAAGCAACGAAGAAAAGGATGGCAATGCTAAGATCCCCCAAGCCACCTAATACCCTGCCCTGAACATCTTTGTTCTGTGCATGTTATAAAATGGACAATACAGCAAATCCTACCCACGAACTGAAAATTATCATCGTATCTCACCCCCATTTGCACCATGAAGCCTGTCAGAGAAAACAGAGCTTTGCCTGGAATAATATTTCTAGCAGGCTAAATCAGAAGCACCTCCCACTAATTACAGGCAGAAAGAAATATTCCACATGTGATATGACTTGGGACCCTCCTTGTTTGCTAATCCTCTGTGATTTAAATTGCGCAGTCTAGTTTATTCCCCTACAAACCTGCATTTAATGCCCTTATCTATTAGAAAAAGAAGTTTCTCGTGCTTAAAAACACAAGCACTTGACAGTCTTACAATGGTCTGACACCCATAACTTCACTGCCCTGATGTGGAACAAGGGAAGTTCCCACATTGCTGCTGGTTTCTGGCCCTGGCGCTGAATCCTCCGTGAACCTGAAGGGGAGACCCCAGGCAGTGAGCAGATGCCCTTTGTTTTGCTGCTTTTCTCCAAGGGGAGACCCCAGGCAGTGAGAAGATGTGCTCTGTTTTGTTGCTCTTCTCCAGTCTGCCGTGGAGACACAGGGTATTCATGTGCCAGTGTCATGTACACAGGTAATGCAGCACACGAGCAGACACTCATGCCTCTGCCTACAGTGTGGCCAGACCTGGTCTTGATTTCCTGAAAAGCTGGAATATGCAGAAAAGGCACCCAAGTTTTCAACACAGAAACCAAAGGAAAAACCAAAAACTTATAGCATGCAACAAAACATTGAGAAGTATATTAAAGAAAGTAAATCATAGAATCACAGAACAGTTGAGGTTGGAAGGGACCTCTGGGGACCACCTCGTTCAACTCCCCTGCCCAAATTGGGTCACTTGGGAGCACATTGCCCAGGATTGTGCCCAGAAAGCTCTGGAATATCTGCAGGGAAGAAAACTTCACGATCTCTCTGGGCAGCCTGTTCCAGCGCTGTGTCACCCTCACAGTAAAGGGTTTTTTTCCTCATATTCGGATGGACTTTCCTGTGTTTCAGTTTGTTGCCTCTGATCCTATCACTAGCCACCACTGAAAAGAGCCTGTCCCCATCCTCTTTACACCCTCCCTTCACACGCACGCATTGGTAACATTCCCGAACAGGCCCAGCTCTCTCGGCCTCTCCTCATATGAAAGATGCTCCAGGCCCCTAATCACCCCATAGCCCCACAGTGGCCTCTCTCCAGTAGCTCCGTGTCGCCCTGCGCTGGGGAGCGCAGCCCCGGACACAGCCCACCCCGGGCTGGGGGCAGGATGACACCCCTTCCCCTGCTGCAGGGCTCGCATATTCACAGCTGTGATTTTATACCACTGAAGGCACTCATGAAGGGTCATGTTTCTGATGCCCGTTTCTTCAACAGAGCAATTTGCTGTGTTCTTCTGATTAGGTATTTGCACTGCTCCATGTGCACACAGAAAGGATAAGGGGACAGCTCTCCAAAGAAACAGGCTTTGACCAGGAGTCAGTTAAAATCTCTGAGACTTTTGATTAGCAAGACACATAAGTATCACTGACCTACTGAGTTTGCAATTTTTCCCCCACTGTTTCTGCCTCTCACTAGTGCTTTCTGGCTAGTTAACTCTGTGCTGTTTATTTGGTGAGTTTTATTAATCCTTTTTCTCCCATCATTTCTGCAGCAAATTCTCCAGCTCCCTTCTACCACCTCACTGCAACTTTAATGCTGAAGACACTGCTCTACCTGCCTGTCTGTGCAAGGATGTGTGTGTACGTGTTTATTCAGCTACCTTCTCTGCTACCATTAGCACAGAAGCACCCTTGTCACCGCAACATGATCTGCTTACCCGTGGCCCTTCTCCCTTCTTCCACCCTGCATTCAGATAGGATCACAGTAAAACCTTTGTGTTTGCTGACCCTAATTGCAATGCAAAAACTGGAGAGGATAGGCTGAAACAGAACGTTTCAGTCCTGACCCACAGACACCACCATGCACGGAGAGGTATCCAATGCAGCATCTGCAGCAGACACTTCAAGTTTTCCTTCTCCCAATTTTAAAAGGATGCCAGCTAAACTGCTACTCAGACAAGTTTTCCTTCTCCCAATTTTAAAACCAAGGATGCCAGCTAAACTGCTACTCAGATGTACACAGTGGAGTTAAATGAGAAAACCATATTCAAATTGATTTATGCTTAACCCCAGGATTTCGTCTTTACTGACACAGAGAAGTCACAACGCAAGTGAGAACCTCAGGTCGCAGAGCCAGCAGTGTCACCTCCAGACAGTCACAGAGGGGTACCCCAACTTCCCCCAAACGGGGCCCAACTCGCTGCTGCAAACAAGCCTCCTGTTGCACTAACCCCACGGCAGTGCTGGGGTACATGGCCCGTGCCCTCCGGTCCCCGGGTCCAGGCTGCGGACAGCCGCGCGCGCCCTTACCTCAGCCCGCCATTGGCTTCTTCGTCCGACGAGGAGGCGCCGTTGCAGACATTCCCGAACGAGTGGCTCGGCTTCAGCGTGGCTTCCTCGCAGTCCGGCGCCGGCTCCCTTTTCTTCCTCTTCCCAAACAACTTCTTGAAAGGCTGGAACTTGCCTGCTTTCTTCTTATCTGCGGATCGCAAGAGAAGCAGAGGCAGGGCTGAGGGCCGTGGCTTGCGAGCGCGCGCTCGAGGCACGAGCGGGGTCAAAGAGCGGGGCGGCAGCTCCCGCCGGCGCGCGCCTCAGAGCGCTGGCACAGCCGCGCTGGGCTCGGCCCTTCAGGTGGACGTGTCGCTGCAGCTGAGCGCTCGGTAAGGGAAAAGGATGAGCGTGCGGAGCCACAGCGTGACACCGAGACAAGAAGGTTCGTGCCTGAGCTTTGCGGCGTGCTTTTATTGGGTCCTTTTCACACAGAGACAAGCAGCGCTCCAACCACCCCCGGGCAGCAGGTGCTGCATCCGCTGCCCTGAATCCGAGGGATTGAAAATAACCTGCCATATTTTCCCTTACGTTGCCTCAGACATGGACAAGTCAACTTGCAATGGACAGAGAGAATAGGATAAAGTTCTGCATGTTTGCTGGTGTGTTATTTCAATAAATATCCAGCTTTATATTAGCAGATCAATACAATTACTCTTTTTTTTTTTTGCCCTCCAAGTAATTGAGGGCAAAATTTGACCCACCATTTCTTCTTTGAGGTATTTAAGTTTCAAAAGCTTGGCTAAAAACACAGCAAAAAGACAAAACTGACACAGAGACAGAAACAAGGAACAAAAAAGTTAACCAGAATAAAAGCAACGTTTCTCACCTCAGACCGAAGAAACAAAAGGCAGCTTCACATTATTCTTCCCCATAGCACGTATTCAAAAGAAACACCAACAGTTTATTGTTAAACGCAACCAAAAGGAGATTAATTTCTCTGGGCTGGAATGCACCAAAAACTTTCTAAATCCTCCTAACTATCAAATAGCTTCATTTCTTCTCTGTCTTTAATTAATTTTGCATTGGATTTACTTCAAACAGGCTATTAAAAAAAAAACCAAAAAAACAAAAAAAACTTGTAGCCTCCTATCATCCTTCACTTTGAAAAGCATCATACTGCATTGGTGACAAACATCTTCATAAGCTAATTAAAGCCTGCACGCACTGTGTTCATCCTGTGTTCATCCACCTGCCCTTTGCACATTTCATAAGCTAATTAAAGCCTGCATGCACTTTACTGTGTTCATCCACCTGCCCTTTGCACACTATACTCTTCTCCTATGAGCTGTTGCAGAGCAAAAAGCAGCAATTGAGTTGCAAAGTGCACACGCGGATGCCCTTGACACAACAACAGTTGTGTCCTGTAGTACTCCACAAACCTCACCATGTTCTACGCTCCCCTCTGCTACACCTGCATCTGGCAAAGCCACATCCATCTGCCACCCCGAATGCCCCGTTATGTTGGAGCATAACTAGGGGCTGATAGAGAGCACGAGAATGTGCGTGAGCACGGTGCAATCTGGCTCTTCCCAAGGATGAGCAGGCTGCCAGTTCTCCTGAGCTGAGCCCAGCGGTGGCTTCTCAAAGCCACAGCTTCTACAAAGAGCAAGAAACCTGTGACAGAACCCGTGGGATTCAATCTGCACCTGGCTATGAAGTGGAAAATCTAGACTAAAATAATGAAGTTTAAAATGCAATAGACATTAACATTGCCTTTTCTCTACCCATCTCCAAGAATTTTGCCAAAGGAGCTTTCTTCCCGTTGCAGTCAAGACACAACGGATCTGTGTGACTTCATTAAGGCTACAAGGCACTCTGGCAGTGTCTGTGAGGCAGAAAGCAGAACTGCTCAACTGTGAACCCCATGCCCAGTCCCTGGCAATAGAATTTTCTGATCCCAAATCCCCACAATGAGCATGTTGGGGAAAAAATAAGCCCACAATTTTATCTCTATGAAAGCACTGCAGAAGAAAAGAGGAGCCAGAAGTTTCCTTTCCCCTGTCCCCTAGCTCCACTTTCTAAACTGCTGATCTGCTCACAGTGTTTCCAGTCAAACCAATTACTTGCTGCTCAATTCATAAATTTTGAGAAATATATCTTGAATATATATAATCATACCACTGGCAGACAGACATGCATAGAGAGAGATGATTACTCTAGCCCACAGCCACCCCAACTTTTCAAACACTTGAGAGACTATCTAGAAAAACTAATAAATCAAGTGGCTGAGCATACAGGAGAGAAGCCCTGAGCACCCAGGACTGGGTGAAAGAGCTCCTTTTCCATGGTTTCAGCATTGTCTGCTTCCTCAGTCTGTTTTGAAAGAAAAGATTGTGTGGCATATTATTTCTCCTGGGTAATTCAATTAATGGCATAAATCAATCCAACAACAGCAACTTTACAAAAAGGTTCTGCCGTCACTCATCCAATTTGCCCTTGTTTCCTCTTCTCTTAGAGGTCTATAGCTATATCTGGGCATTACCTCAGGATGTCTTGGCTTGTGAACTCCAAATGTAGTATCAAATCCAAATGATCCACCAACTGTGAATGTCGGTTTTGAACAAATAAAACAGAGAACAACACAGCTTTGGGGTTGAAATGGGTAAAAATGAGCAAGGTTGTCTTCAGTCAAGATCTGTTTTTTTTCCATGAGACTTAATAGGTCTTGTAGCTGCTCCCCACTCCATATCCTGTCATCATACTTGTCATATTTCTTAACATGAACTTTTTAAATTGGGCTTCATGATTCATTTCAAAACTGATCATCCCCCTTTCCTGCACAAACTGTGCACACTGTTCCTGATCCTGCTGATACAAACATAAGGAACAATCAAGCTCAAGTTTCCAATGAGGGAATGATCAGGCAGTAAAGCAAGGTCTATATGTAATTCTTTTCATGAGATTTTGCAGAGGAACATATGGGATAATGTAATCTTTAGGACAAAACGCTTCCTATAACAGTAATTGGCTACAGGGAATCAGACCATTGGCAATGCAACAGAGCACACCCTATTCAAAAGCCTTTCAAGGCTCTGATGCTAGAGCTCAAACATGACTCAACCCTTTTTTTCTATTTATATTGCACAAAGTATACAAAAAACATAAAGAAGGCAGAAGGTGGGGGCACCCACTGTGATTAAGTTGTGTCAAAGCCAACTGCTGAACTAGGCAGGAAACAAGCCTATTTATGAGAACCATTTCATTCTCTCCTTAATCAGTAGAGCTGGAATCCGACAAATACAGCCCGGGGAGAACATGGAAAAATAGCAATTAAACCTTTTTCTCTTTCTGGTTTGCAAGCCTCTCTCACTCAAACCACTGTAAACAGTTAACAGTAGAACAGTAAATCAGCTTTGAATCACAGAAAACCATGAGGTGTGAAGGCGGCAGATAAACAAACTTGGCTATGCTAGCTAGAATAACACCGCGCATATGGCAAATGCTCCCTTCTCATCTTATGCCAGAAGAGAGGCAGAGCAGATTAGAGTAATCTTTAACCTGTCATATAATTTGTCAGCTGCATAAAGATGTGAAAGGCCTAATGCAGAGCTATCTGGAGTGCGCCGGCATCATGAAGGCAGCACGAGGCCATTCCACTCTCAGCGATGGTGAGACCGACCGGAGGAGCAGTTCTCTTGCACTGCTTCCTTCAGCGCTCCCCTGCCCGCTGAAGATGAAGGCAGCTGCAATGGGTTTTGCTGCCTGTGAGGCAGGGCAGCCTTTGCACTTCAGCTGCAAAGCGGCAGCACCTGCTCCCGCTGACCCGTCACCGTAAGACAGCTTGTAGCTAAACTACTCAACCGTCAGCTCAATCCAAGGCCGTTTCCATTCTATGACGCCCTTCAAAAACTGCACAGAGCCCACAGCAAGCCGAACACTACACAAAGACTTAACTGCAGTTCTTAGGGGCAAGAGATTTAAATAATTGAAAGAAAAATGAGAAATGGATCCCAAACACCAGACACGTTGCAGGGAGTGACATCTCTAACCACATCTTTACAGCAGGAAAAGGCTGCTCAGATGTTTATTCTGATCATCAATAATCTCACATGCACACTTTGCCCTCCTAGCGCACAGAGCTTCCCCAGAGCTTCCACACGCACAGCTGGGCCACCCAGCTTCCCTGCTCCTTCTGTGTCTGCACACATTCACTCATGTGTGTCCCCAGCACTGCTCATTATTAACTGATGCAGATGTGCTCAGACACAGCTGCAGGGTTCCCTAAAAGGTGTCTACATCCCTCCAGGAAAGGTAAAGGGATAAGGGTGAGTGGTTTGGAAACAAGTAAGAGGAAGGGCAGAGTCTGCTCTGTTCACCCTGTTTAAAAATAGTCTGGAGAACCTGTACCTCTTGTGGTTCATCAAAACTCACACTGAATGTTGGTCTCTGGACCATTTCTTCTCCCATGAACTTTTTTCAGTTCACTCCCTCTCTTCCACATACAGCTAAAAGAAAGCTGGGGCTAAGATAGGTGGAAACAGTCTCTGTATGAGACAAGTGCCAAAGAGTCAGAGGGAACATTTAAGCTAGTACAAAGGGAATAAACACTGACATTAAACAGACTGTCATTCCGAGTCAGTAACATGACTTCCTTCCAATGAGTTCAAGTCCCAGTTGGGTGAGACATTTAGCTATAGACACTTCTAAACACTCTTGAAGTGGAAAGCAGGCAACATTTCCAGGTTGACAGGGATGAGATGAGATCATTTAATCAGAGAAACATTAAATGAAAACAAGACTGGGAGTTATCAAAGAGGACAAATCAATGTACTCTCAAAAGTCTCATGAAACACCTAGACAATATAAGGAAAAGGAGCAGGCCAAAGTCTGTCTGGTTTTCCAAGGGTATCAAGTGATCTTATAAGAGATATTATCTCCTGCCAACTGTGCCCCATGGAGAAGATGAGGCATTCTTGGATTACCTGATACAAACTAGTAAGGCTACCTACAGTACATAACAAAGTAAGAACCAACCTTACTTTCCAGAAACATTATTTTTCCCTTGCTACCTTGGGAGTCAAGAACACTTACACAAACATTTTGTGACTTTTTTTTCCTCGAAGAGACCTTGGCTTCCAAACAAGCCATATGTAGTTGAGATAGTCAGCTGTTAGAAAAAAAATGTATGAATCAGCATAATAAATCCTG